CAACAATAGTGTAGTTTAGGAATAACAATTAGTTATACATTAATATCCAATTGATATATTCATGTATTTTTATTTTCTTACTTGATATTATAAAATAAATAAATAAATAAATAAAAAAAAAAAAAAAAAAAAAAAAAAAAAAAAAACAAAAGGGTCAATCACAAACTTAATCAACTTAATAGTTTTTTTTTAAATAAAAGAGGTCGATTACTAATAAGATATTTCTTTTACTTTTAATGAACTATTGATAACAGGTCTTTTACTAATCATGGGGACAAGGCAAATACGATAAGATGAATACTACTAATGTCAATATCTTATAGGGTACTTTTAAGGAACTACTACTATTATTTCGTAGCTACGAACTCAAGAGGAGTTATCCTTTATTGTGAATAAACTTTCGCACCTTTATATACATTTTCTTTACTAACTATTTTTCTAACATATCTGTTCTATCTATCCTATGTACTAGATCTGCTCCTTCCGCTATATCTGCCATTTCTGCTATATCTGGCAGATTTGGCAGATACAGGTCGATTTTGATCGAACTATCTCGGCGTCGATCGTTGCTATTTTCCCCCTCACAACGTACACAAATGCATCTTCGACAATTATGCTCCGGAGAATCCAGAGAATCACATGACTGTGCCCTCGATTATTGGTGACGCTAAACATTTTTTGTTATTGGTCATACTGTGAATGATAACTGATTATTCACTAGGACACAGTGCTTTTGACGTGACAGAAGGCATACCTAGACGTGATACACAAATTTTTATTCACCTCCGATAGAAGGTGTACAAATTTTGTGTATCATATATTAGAACTGATCCAATAACATGCATGGAAATGGCTAGGTACTTACATAAGAAGTGTACAGTAACGGCAGGTTATTGGTTTTGGGATTGCCGACAGTATTGTCTTTTTAGCCATTATAAATTCCAAATTTGTGATAAAAGTCATTAGAAAATATTGCAATAAAAAGCACATAAATCTTATTTAGAATATTGTTATTTCCAGCTCCTATTTGATTTAATATAATTATATAATTATACAATATACAGTAAATAGAGATGGGCAAATCGCGGTTTTTCAAAAACGCGTGGGATTCATTAAATCTAGGTGCCGCGCGGTTGAACCTCAATTTTGATTGGCCAACGGCTGTGATCGACAAAATTTTTGCCGCATTATACATAATTTTGGCCGGAGCTTAATTTTTTAATTGTTTAAGGTTTGGGTCTGTGTAATGGTAAAATTAACCCAGGAACATATTTAACTTAGGGTTGAAAATTACATTTTACAAATTTACAATGCATGTAATTTCACGGGATATATAGTACCTAGAGATGGGCAAATCGTGGTTTCTTCAAAAATCCCGCACGGGATTCATTAAACCAAAAAATTTTAAACCCTAATTTCACTTAATGGGCGGCCACGATTTCTTTACTAAAAATTCGAGTAATTTTGCCTAAATTTTTG